AATGAATGGCAATATTACCTTGTTATGAATTGAAATGAATACCTATCGAACACTCATGTGAACAATTTGTAGACACACTAATATGTACATATATGAATGCTAGGAATGCTAAGCTGAATACTCAACGAATGCTGGTAGAAATTAAAGTGAATAGCTCGAAATATGCCTTGAATATGCATGTTAAATATGAGTTCTGACAGGATTCAACTGAATCTCTGTTAGATATTCGAGTGAATACAATGAATAGCTTTGAATGGGTCTTAAATGTGACTGCTAGAAATGAATTCTCCAAGAATTCAACTGAATACAAACGAATATTGTTAGAACGCATGTGAATCATACGAGTTCTCTGAAAATTAAACTGAATACTAAACGAATAGTGGTAGATATACAAGTGATTACTGTGAATAACTTGAAATGTCTTGAATATAGACTTGCTTAATATGAATTATCTAAAAATTAAACTGAATACTAAACGAATAGTGTTAGATATTCAAACGAATACCATGAATAACTTGAAATATGTCTTGCACATGCTTGCTAAATGCGAGTTCTGTATGAATTAAGTTGAATACTCAACGAATAGTGTTAAATAAGCATGTGAATCACACGAGTTATCTAAAAATTAAACTGAATACTAAACGAATAGTGTTAAATACTCAAATGAATAACGTGCCTATGTATGTTTTTGAATGAGACAAGCCTAAATGAGTATATTTAACAAAAACGAATGCCACAAGCAAACAATTCCGATACTCGAATATTCGCACACATTTTATGCACTTGCATTCATTTGAATAACGAAACGAATGATTTATGAGTGCGACGTGAGTGTGAATAAACCAAACCAAAATGGCAATTAAAACTTGAAAACATTCACGAGTGCTAAAAAAAAAAAAAAACAAAAAAACAACAACAATACAGATGAAGAAAAATAATAAATAAACACACGGCTCCAACTGTCAAGTGGGTGTGCGGGACGAGGGGCGAGGGACGAGGGGCGGCTGGTGGGGATTATGCCTGCTAGCAATAACAAAAACAATAATTTTGACATTGATGATGATGATGGTGCAGCAACAACAACGGCGGCGGCAACTTGCAACAACTGCTTGCAACAACAAGTTGTAGTTTTCGCACTTGTTTCGGCGGCTCGACGTAGGCGCTGCCAGGGGAGGGGGGAGGGGCAAACAACAACAACAACGTCTCAATGCTATTTGCATGCAACAGCGGCAACAACAAGAGGCGCATGTGGCGTGCACAAAAGTTGCAACTTACACATGTGGCAAGCGCCTTGCCATAAGCTGCGGCCGTGTGTCGGTGTGTCGGTGTCTGCACCGTACGGTAGAACAAACGAATGAGTACTTAAAACTTTTACAAGCCACTCAAACGAGAGAGAGAGAGAGGGAGAGAGTGAAAGAGAGAGAGCGAGTGCTAAAACAATTGCATGTTAGGCGCAACACTTTCGCAGCATTCAGCTTCTGGGAGGCAGGCACTCTCCCTCTCCCTCTCCCCCCCCCCCCACCCTGCTCTCTTTATCTACAACCCAACAGCCTGGCTAAATTCATTACAATGTGGGCGCGGTCAAGGAGGCGGCAGCAGGGCGAATGAACTGCAGCGAGTAGAAGAAAAAAAAAAATTGAGTACTCGCTGTTGGAATTTTTGTTAGCCGGAAATGTGGCAGCAGCTGAGCGAGGGCGAAATAGGGTGGGTGGAGGGGGGAGGGAGGGGAGGGGTTTGCCATTTGGAGTAGTTATGTTTATGGAAGGGCACTTGGTTTAGTTTCACACTTGAGCGCCGGCTGCTAATGAGCTTAAGGATTAACGAGTGCCGCAACGAGCGAGTAGCGAGCGGCGAGTGGAGCGGGCGAGTGGAGCGGGCGAGACGGTGGCAAGACGAAGGCGAGGCGAAAATGCAGCTTACATATTTTGTAAGCGCTTGTGGGCGCCTTTGTTTCGGCGCGTCAATGGTGGGCGTGGCAGTGCAGCACGCCCACCAGACGCGCTGCAGACGGCTAGCAAAGTTTTTCGCCGCTTTCGCAAAACTATTTGCAAATATTTGCTTAGTATTTCATTTAGTTTTTCTTGTTGCTATTTTGCTTGCGTATGAATAACACCCCAACCATCCCCCCCCCCCTCGCCACGCCACGCCAGCGCAGGGGCTTAAGCGGCGACGAGGCGTCAAACAAATTTGTAGCTTTAAAACAAAAGCGAAAGCAAAAGCAAAAGCAAAAGCAAATTGAATGAATGCGAGTGAATCGCATGAATGAGTGAATGAATAAATGCCGAACTGAATCATCATAGGGCTAACGATTTCAGCTCGTAAAGCTAATAATAGTACTTATATTTACCCAAATAGTCATAGGTGCACTCATTTGAATACTTTGAATCTAAATCTGAGTGAGCTGAATAAAAGTGAATAGCTTCATTTGTATTTCTATATTCATATAATTTGTGTTCAAACGCGACTCGGTATTCGTTTGTTGCTATTCATTCATTAACCTTTTGCCATGAATACTGTGAGTACATTTGTTGAGAAAGAACTATCGAATGCTCCATCTGAATGCAAATGAGTCAATTTGACAAAGTATTTGCGATTCACAAGCTCATGAGTATCCTAAAGTGAATGTTCTATTCACACACTCATGAATACTCATCGATTGTTTAAAGGCATCTGAAGCGTGAACTTACAACGGGAGAACAAGTGAATAAATACGCTCAATATTTTGAATATTTTATGTTCAAATACGACTCGTATTCTCACAGACGAGTCATTCGTTAACCGAGAGAGATCCATCAAGGGCATGTGAATAAATCTGAGTACATTTCACAAATATTTCAATATTCGCGGAAACTCGCGTATTTTAAGCTGAGATTCACAAGCTTTTTTGAATCCGCCAATGAATGTTCTATTCATACACTCATGAATACTCATCGAGTAGAATCTAGAGAGTGAACTTAGCTTACGGATGATTCATTCATGAACGTTGGCAATAGATATTCGAGTAAATATTATGAATATACTATGAATACACATTGAATACAAATGAGTACATTTGCCAAAAGTATTTGAATATTTTAACGAGAGATTCATTAAGTATAATATAGAATATAGAATATGTGAAGATTCAGACTAACTTTTTGAATCATTGTGTGAATGTAATGAATGCAAGCGAATAATTTTGTCACAAATATTTCCATTGAGTGAGAATTTTGAATAGAAACCATTTGCGCACTTTGTAGCCTTTTCAAGGTATTCAATCTGTTGGCGAGTGTTAAATGAATAAAAGCTTCATTTACTGAGACAATTTATGAAACTTTGCATTCATTTCCCTTCACATTCACCCCGTCTATTAAGCGTTTCCATTGCGTGCTTCATTTACATTTGGTACTCGAGACTCACACGACATTCACTGTCATTCACAAGGCATTTTGAATACACCAACTCGCACTCAAGTAGGTGTGAATCTTAAAACGCATTTTCACGCGCGAACGCAACTTGAGGCGACGTCTGGAGAGGATGATGACGATGACGGCACGCCTCGGCGAGTACTCATGAATAAGGATTCGGTTTTCACCTACTTTCCCCAAGAAGACAGTCGCCCAGTGAACCTGTGTGTCTGTGTCTGTGTCTGTGTGTGTGTGTGTGTGTGAGCCACATTAGCCCGTGAAGAGGCTTGAGGCGTCACACGTGCCTAAGTAGCTGCGCCCGTCCGCTGGCATTCCGAGAGAGAGAGAGAGAGAGAGAGAGAGAGAGAGAGAGAGAGAGGGAAAGAGCCTGGGCGAGGATGTGGGCCCTGCTATCAAGCGTTGACCTTCGCGTTAAAGATTCGAATGGAAGTGTCTGTCCGAGGGATGGTCACGAATGGGATAAGGACTTCAGCGGAAGAAAACATCCATTGCCGAACGGAGACTTTCAAGTGGCAGGACGAGTGCAATCGAGAAGATCCCCAGGAATGAGGTGAATGTAATAGACCAGAAACGCTTGAGCAGGCAGAAGGATGAGCTTGTCCGCGAAATGAGAAGTCGCCCCAGCATTAGAAATAATTTCCAACAGGCAACAGGAACAGGAATACTAAGACTAGAGTTGGTCTCAGGGAATAATGAAGGAGCAACCCGAGGAAAAGCCCAGGTAAGTTTCAAGGAAACTCACATGAGGAATACTGATGAGAAATAGGCGGAGATATGGATATAGACCTAATGGAGCAGGTGGATGAGCCAAAGGATGTTCACGGAAGATTTCTGGGGTTCCAACCAATTCTATTTCCAGAGAAGATGAGAGATTGTCCGGATTGTTGATGGGAAAGGAAAAGGAATTTCCCAATAAACACGGCAAGACACAAAGCTTGAACGAGCCTAAACCAAAGAGAATTGCTTGGATTTGGCTTGGAACTGGTCAGGGAACAGGGAAAATAAATCGCCTAGAAAGCTATACATTCTATATGAACTGTAAGCTGGAAGAATGGCTTTATGAATGGAAGATCGAGTAGCGTCAAGGACCCAAAGAAACATAGGTTTGCTCGTGGTGTTTCCCTTGGTGGTGCCCAATCCCAACAAGACTTTCACAAAAGATTGTAATTAAATCCTTGCCGCAAGCTCAATATAAGCCAACCTGCTTCACAAGGAGCACAAGCAAAATCTTCCACTACGTAATCCCGAGTGGAATCTTCTTCGTAATCCCGAGTAGAATCTACCACTGCGTAATCTCGAGTGGAATCTTCCACTACGTTCCCGTGTGGAATCTTCCACTACGTAATCTCGACTGGAATCTTTCACTTCGTAATCCCGACTGGAAATTTTCACTTCCTAATCCCAAGTGGAATCTTTCACTACGTAATCCCGAGTGGAATCTTCCACTACGTTCCCGTGTGGAATCTTCCACTACGTAATCCCGAGTGGAATCTTCCACTACGTAATCTCGAGTGGAATCTTCCACAATTCCACAATTCGACCCGTTTAGAAATTCTTTCCCACTAGACACTAGTAGCTGAGGGATGCGCTTACCTGCCGCTTTTGGTGATGACCATTTCGGTGCCGAGCTTGTGGAACTTCTCCCATAGATCCTTGCCCTCGAGCGTGACCTTGGGATCATCGACGACGCCATCGTCCTCGGGCTGGAGGGCGCGCAGCGGCCGCATCGCCGGATGCAGCTGATGGGCAACAGCCGATGCGAGCACCACGTCCTCGGCGGTGGTGTAGGCGGTGCCCAGCGGATGATGGGCGTGCGGATGCGCCGGATGCGGCGGGAAGCGCAATCCGCCGGCGGCGCTATACAGGCCCGGATGATGCGGCCCCGCCGGACTGCCGGCCAGCGCGGCTAGCGCAGCGGCCGGAAAATACGGCGGCGGCGGTGGCTGCTGCTGCTGCGCTCCCAAATGCTGCTGCTGCTGGTGCTGGTGCTGATGCTGGTGCGGCGGCGGCGGCGGCGGATGCGAATGCAGTCCACCTGCAGGTGGTTGCTGTGGATGTGGCGGCGGTGGTGCGCCCGTCGCAACGCTGGGCGAATGATGCGCGGGTAATGACGAGGAGGAGGCGGAGGACGATGGCGGCGGCGCTCCAGCTCCAGCTCCAGCTGTGGGCGGCGGTGGCGGAGTGGGCGTGGGCGTGTTGGCCTGGCTGCCGCTCAGTGCTTGTTCGGTGGTGTTCAAGTGGTTCTTGTTGTTGTTATTGTTATTATTATTGTTGTTGTTGTTGTTGTTATTGTTGTTGTTGTTGTTGTTGTTGCTGCTACTGTGATTGCTCTGCGGCGAAAGCTGCGACGGCGAGCTGCGATAGTTGCCCGCGCCGCCCGAGCCTGGCGAGCTGAGCGCCTGAGCGGCTGCTGAGCTGTTGTTGTTGTTGTTGTTGTTGTTGTTGCTGCTGCTGTTGTTGCTGCTGTTGTTGTTGCTGTTGCTGCCCGCCGTCAACAGCGACGAGACGCTGAAGTCAGTGGGTCTTTGCGAGAGCTGCAGAAATGGATGATATGCCATCCCATTTGCGAACCTGGCGAATGGATCCTCAGCAGACTGATGAAGTAGCAGCTCCTGGACGTCGTATCTCATTACATTACAATTTCATCAACATGTGCGTCACGCGGAAAATCTATTTAATTTATTTAATTTATTTGATTTGCTGTTGTTGTTGCTGTTGCTGTTGCTGTTGTTGTTGTTCGGCAGGTACTATTTTTTTGTGTTTTTTGTTTATTTGTTGAGCTTTTTACACACACACACACACACACATGCACGTCATATTTGTTTCTTTTATTGAATAGATTTTCTTTTTCTTTGCAATTCTTTTTTGGTCACCAGCTTTGTTGTTATTGCTGCCCAAAGAAAAAAAAATTGTAGTTGTTGTTAAAAAAAAATATATATATATATATATATGTATATATTATTGTTATTGCTGCTGCTAATTGTTGTTTTGGCGGCGGCAAAACGTCAACGCGTCGTTTATTGGCAGCGGCGACGGCGACGACGACGCGACGCGAGCCTATTTGCAATTGCTGCTGGCTGCTGGCTGCGGCTGCTGCTCCTGTTATTTGTTATAAACAAATGCGGCTTGCAAGCAGGAAAAAAAAAAAACAATTTGTAGCAACGGCACGACGAGAACAATACACAGACACGGCTGGGCAACAGAAACGGGCAACGACGACGCCGATACGAACTACACGCCGGTCGCTTCCAAACTGGTAAATACACAGACGGACGCGGGCAGCGCAACCCCCGAAGACAACACGAACGCTGTCGCTGTCGCTGTCGCTGTCGCTGCTGCTGGCTGTGCTGGCTGTGCTGGCTGCGCTGCCGACGCGCTCAGCGAGTAGCAGGCGTGTGTTGAGTGTGCGAGAGCGAGAGAGCGCAGTGTGTTGAATTTGTTGGCGGGCTGGCTGGGCGTGCGAGTGAGTCGACTTGGGCTCGTCTGGCGCTGCTTGTGTGTGTGCACATGTGTGTGTGTGCGCGCGTGGTTTGCTTTTGGGTGTGGGAGCAGGGCAGACTGAGACGACACCAGAGAGCGCGATTCCAATAAGAAAATCAAAAACCAAAGTGTTGAGTTGACGCTTTCTGTGTGCGTGTGTGTGTGTGTGTGGGCACACAAACAAGACGACTGTGACAAACCAACCAGCGGCAGCAGCGCCGGCGTCGGCAGCGGCGTGTGACAAGCAGCATGAAGCGTGTTAGAAGTAACAAGGCAGCTGACACCAAAAGTGCAGCGCTCCAGAAAAATGGCTCAAAATGAGAGCAAAAGAAAATGCCAGAGTGTAGTAAATCAAAAATATCCCAAAAAAAAGATATATACAAACATACGAAAGAAAAGCTGTTGGCGCGCCGGCTAGGACGGGGGGTGTTCATTCATGCGGGGACGGGCGGGGGGTAACGGCCAAGTTGACAAATGACGCGCAAGCGAAAAATGCGCTTGAATGGTCAAATGTTTTGATGGCCCGTCGGCGATGGGCGGCCGCGAAGGGGCGGGGTGGCGGCAGGCTTTGATAAATGTGCTGCGCAGGGCTGTCGCAGAGGGATGAGGGGGGGGGGGGGGGGTCTGGTGGGTAGGTGAGCAAAGCACAGTAAATGCGATAAAAGGCAAAGGAGATAAAGCAAACAGCGGAGAGCGGAGATTGGAGGCAGAGGCAGAGGCACAAGCAAATTGGGAAGCAGCGCGTGCTGATTTGACCTACACTGACCTTTCATCTGATCAGAATGTGGAGAAAACTCAAATCGAGTAAGAGAGCGAGGGAGAGAGGGAGGGAGAGGCTGAGTAAAGCGCGATCGCAGGCAGCAAACAGCTTTAGAGTAAAAGCTTTTGCCAAGAAGCGACAAAAGCTCTTCAAAGAATTAATATAAAGATAAAAGTGATAAAACATATTTGAATTTGTTTATTTACACGTGATTTAAGAAAGCTTTAAGGAGCTCTAGAAGATATTAATCCTGAGCGTGGCTATAAAACAAACAAAAGTCATGATATACATGAGCTTTAGGCCTCGCTTAAGACTTTTATTTTCTTGAGAATAGCTGCTGGAGCTTTGAGTGATGCCAAGCTAGAAGAGAAAGAGAATTTGCATGTTTTGAGAATTTCTTTGAGCTGCTTAAAACAATTATAATTAACAAGCACACTCTCTTGGGGCGAGAGGGGGCAAAGGAATTGCGGACTAGGAGCGTCCGCTTTCAAAGTTAAACGCGCTTTTGAACGCTTTGGCAGCTTTTATGCGCTCCGCCGTAATTGCAAACACGGTAGATTTATGCCGCGACAGGAGCCGCGGCGACGTCGCCTAAGCAGCGCACAAATTCGCAAGTGCGAAAAAGCCGAGCAAAAAGAAGAGCAGCAACAAAAGCTGGACAGGAATAGGTGCCGCTTGGCGCGCGTGTGACAAACTTGACGCTAAGTTTGCGCAAACACGGCCAGTGGCGGTGGGCGTGGGTGTGAGCGAGACGGCAAGAGTCGAGGCGTGCAAATGAAAGGCAAAGCTCAAGCAGAAGGCACACACACACACACACACACACACACACACGCACACAGACAGCAGTAGCAGACAAAGAAGCTTTGGCAGCGGCGACGGCGCCAAAAAGCAAAAACGGCAACGCAAATGTATTTTGTCACACGTTTTCACACACGCACACACACACACACACACATACAGGCGCGCACAATAATACAAGCTGTGTGGGAGCTGGCTGGCACTATGGGCGCTGCCTGTGCGCAAGAAAAAGACGACAAGCGCATCGACAACGATGACGACGACGACGACGACGACGGTGGCGACGGCGACGTTGAACTTGCTACCCGACAGGCTGCTCTCATTGTTGTTGTTGTTGTTGCTGCTGTTGAGCACTGCTCAGCTTGTGTGACAAGTTTAACCACAAATACACACACACACACACACTCGCATACACATACATGCACACAGAGCGACGCGCCAGCTAGTTAACACCACACCTCACAATGGCGGCGGCAATGTTAACTCCTCTGCGCCGTCCTCAGGCACGTCACGTGTGTGCGAGTGAAATGGCGCGACGTCGTGGTGCCGTTGTAGCTGTAGCTGTAAGAGGTGACAACATTTCTTTGCATGCATGTGTACATATATATATATATATATATATATATATATGTATACATCTATATAAGCGCGCTGTGTGTGTGGTGTGAAAAATTACAGCAGCAGCGACGCCAGCATCAACGTTGTTGCTGTGGTGAAGAAAAGACAATGAGGATGCTGCGCGGCAGCCAAAGCTGAGAGTGTTGCGACGCGCTGTTGTTGCTGTTGTTGTTGTTGTTGTTACTGTTGTTGGGGCGGTGTGTAAAGTGAAAGGCGATTAGTTGGTCGCCAATATATATGTATATAAGAGCAGCTTTTGGTCAAATGGGCAAGGCTAACAAAAACAAAAACAAACGCAAATACACACACGCACACACATGCACATGCTGCTGTTTTATATACATATATTATATGATTTCATCAAATGTCCAATTGGACTAGCATAAAAGCAAGTCTGCATATTAACGGCTTTTTATTAACGCAACAAAATGCTCAAAAAGTGCTACACAAGGTGTTAAAAAACAACCAACCAAAATGCCGACTGACGCCTGGGCCAGAAAGGCTGCTGCTGTTGCTGCTCACTCTCTGCCGCTTGTTTGTATATTGATTAGTGTGCTCTCTGCTGCTGCTGTGGTGTGTTGAATAAGCTTACACCACAGCATCTGCAGCGCGCGAGAGCGAGTGAGCGTAGTATTTGAGTGCGCTCACTTCTCGGTGCTAGCTCTCTCGCTCACGCTCTCGCACTGGCTGGGCCCTGTGTGGACCCACATAGAAGAGGCGCGCATAGAAAATTTCGTCTGATTTTTTGTTGGCGCTTTGTAGCTAATTAAAAGTTTATGTGTGTACAAACACACTAACCAGCGCGCGCACACACACAAACACACACACACACACGCGCTCACACATACGCTAGCAGACACGACGCTGCTGCTGGCTGCCTCATAATTATCTGAAAAACTTTATTTGACGGCGTTTATTTGACTGGCTGCCTTCCCCGTGGGGGTCGCTCTTACTCTCTATCTCACTCGCTCGCTCGCTCGCACACACAGGCTTTGCTTGCGCGCGCGCGTGTGTGTGTGTGTGTGTGTGTGTGTGGGCATGTTTATTTGCTTAACATGGTTTAGTTGCACGTGTTTCTGTGTGTGTGTGTGTGTGTGAAAATTTACAAGCGGCGCGCGTTAAATTATCCAAATATGTTGGGGGCAAAAAGGTGACGACGAATGGGTTAACACTTTGACTGGCGCGCGTGTCTGTCTGTATGTGTAGCTGTGTCTCTGTCTGTCCGTGTGTGTGTGTGTGTGTGTGTGTGTGTGTAAATAATAAACAACATATTCGCCCATTTGCTTTGAGCATCCCGTGCTCGACTCTCGGCCAACCTCTTGTAACTCGGCTGCCTGTGCGGCGTTTCGGTCGAGATTTGGCCAGAAAGCCATATCCCCGGCTGGACTAGTTGGGTTGTCTTTAATATGGCTTTGGCCACGCCCACTTTCCTGTGGTCCGACTGCGGCCCTGGGTAAATGGCAATCAATAAAATTAGCATAAACTTGAATTTCACGCTGTCAAAAACAATGAAAGCCCGTACACACACACATAGAGCATATATATATACATATATATATATATGTGTGTGTGTGTGTGTGTGTGATTCGAGCACAATTTGAGCATTTCTTATGTAAACACACAGGAATCGGCAACAAAAGCGCCGTAATAAATGTCTAGCCCTATGTAAACACAGACAGAATAACTGTGCGAATGTGTGTGTGTGTGTGTGTGCAGGCGTTTTATGTGGAGTGTCAAGCCAAACACGCACACACATACAAACACACACTCGCACACGTCGACACACGATTGGATAGAAATCCCTGCATTTACATATGTAGACCGAAGGACATGAGGACATGTCCTCGAAAGTGGGGCCCCCAAAGGCCCTAGGGACTTGGGTTCAAGGGACCGACTGTTATAATCCACAAATCTTTCAAATCGAATTCAGTTGACCACGTTCATTTTCTGGCGCCACAAGGGGCAGAGTTCATATAGAAAATCTCTCTCTCTCTCTCTCTCTTTCTGCCTCTATCTCTAGCTCTATCTCTACGTGTTTCTCTGCCTCTCTTTCTCTGCTCTCGCTTTCTCCCTCCCTTT